TCAGGCAGGATGGCTCAAACATGGGAAATTAATTTGTTTTGCTCTTTTTCCAGACCAAATTTCTAGATCAAAGTGTTGTTAAAGCTTGTTTTTCCCATAGCTTCGTTCCTTGACTTTGTTGGTCATCTTCAGCTGAGGCCTAACTTGGTTTCTTTATGTTTTTTTTTTTTGGTTTTTCTCTGGTACCAGAAACCAAACTCACGACCTTGCGCTTGCCAGGCAGGCGCTTTTGCCGCTGAGCTAAATCCCCAGCCCCTGTTTGCTTGTTTTTGAGACATGATCTCACGGTGCAACTCATGCTGGCTATAAACTCAATACGCCGCCTCGGCTGCCTTTACCTCAAGTTCACAATCTCCTGCCTCGTCCCTCTACATGCTGGGATTACAGGCATAGGCAACCATGCTCGGCTCTTCTCATGTTTCATCTGCTGCCCCTGGCACTGGGGATTGAACCCGGGCTTTCTGTGCTGAGCTACATCTCCAGCCCTTGTTTTTTATTTTGAGACAGTGTCTTGCCAAGTCGCCAAGGTGGTCCTCAAGTTTGCAAGCATTCATATGGCCTCAGCCTTCTGTAATTCTATAGACCATGTGCCATCAAGCCCAGCTTTTTCATATATATATATATATATATATATATATATATATATATATTTTTTTTTTTTTTTTTTTTTTTTTTAAAATTTTTATTTTTTGGTCTTTTTGAGACCAGGTTTCCTGTGCAGTTCAGGCTGGCCTTGAACTTGCAACGATCCTCCTGGCTCAGCTTCTCAAGTGCTGAGATTATAGGTGTGTGCTACCATGCCCGGCCTTTCATATTCTTAGTGGTGTCCTTTGATAGAAGTTCTTGATATAGTTTTACTTTTCTTTATGGTTGATATGTAAGAACTCATGGCTTAGCTCTTGGTCAGCAAGCTATTCTCATGTACTGTCTTCTAGAAGCTTTATTTTTTGATTGATAGTCTTCCTGAAATTTTTTTTGTATTTTGGATATGATATGAGATCAGTTTAAGGCTTGGTTCGGTTTGGTTTGGTTTGGTTCTGGGGATAAGTTCTTTTGAGTATGAATAGTTTTCCTTCTAATCTTTATGTCTTTTTCTTATATTTCTGGCTTTGTTGTATTGCCTAAGATATTCAGTAATATATTGAGTAGAAATAGTGTGGATGGACATACTGTCTTTTTTAAATTGTGGGTAAAGTATAGAATTTTGATTTTAAATAAATTTTTTTGGTACTGGGACTTGAACTCAGGACCTTGTGCTTAGCAGGCAGGAGCTGCACTGCTGAGCTAAATCCATGGCTAAAATAACTTACTTATCGGGGTTTCATTTGTTTCCTTTTAACATGTACTTGACTATCTCTGTTACTTTTTTTTTCCTTTGAAACAGGATCTTGTTTTTGTAATGCAAACTAGCCTTGAATTTAGCCCAGGCTAACTTAGTCCAGACTGGCTTCAGATTGGACAGTCCTCCTGCCTCGGCCGCCCATGTGTTGTGATTACAGGCTTGCAGCACCACATTCAGCTTTCTGTTAGCCATTTGTTGCCTTCTTATTATTAAGTCCATCTTTTTAAATGTCTTGTGTGTAACTTTTATGTTCATAGTTCCAACTTCTGGGGTCCTTAAAATCTAAACTTATCATTCTGTTTATTTTCATCATGCAAAATGGGTTACCTCCTCATTTGCATTATTGGCTTAGTAGGTGCTGTACTTCTGGAATCTTAATTCAGCTCCTTCATCTTGCTGGATGGGACTTTACATGAGCGAGTGACATGAGATCAGCCCTCCCATGTCTTCCTTTTTGCTCTCTTCCTCCAACTTCAGCTTCAGTTCTGAGTTTGTCTATATTATTTATTTATTTTTGGCCACTTTTGGAAGAGATTTCTTTCACTTCCTTTGAGAGCAGCGGTTCTCTGTGAATGTGTTTTAGCCAATGTGTAGTAGCTTTAGAGTGTCAGGTTCCCTTACTTTAGCTAAACTTCCATGCACCATGAACATTTCATTCTTTTGCTGTTGTTTCACCTGTTATTTCTGTATGAATGACTCCCAAATTATTTTCTCATGTCTGACTATTCTTTTGTGTTTTAATTGCCTGTTAGATATCTCACATCAAATATTCTGTCAATAATTTTAATTCAGCATTTCTAAAACTCATTTTTTTCAGTATCTTTATTTTTCTTAAAGTCTTGGTTACTTTTCTCTTGTTGCTGAGACAAAATACCTGACACCCAGAATTAAGGAAGGAAAGATTTAGCTCATAGTTTGTGGTGGTTTCAGTCAGGAAGGCAAGTGGCAGAGGGCAACAGTTCATGGTGGAGGAAGATAGCAGAAGGAGGAGTGGCAGAGAATAAGGCTGTTTCCCTCCCTTACATTGTATGCAAACTGTCTGCCCCAGGGCAGGTGTGGCACTCACACCCATAATTCCAGCATTGGGCTATGGATCAGTCAAAAACCCTAGAAGCCTGCCACATGAATGCATGAGGCTTTGGTTTGGACATCCAGACACAAACTATAACACTTAATATAGTTCCTTTCTGATTCTCCTGTTTTTATTAGAGGTATATTACCATTTTGCTGTTTTGTTCTCTGTGTGCATTGGAGTGAGGGATACTGGGGCTTGAACCAAAGGCCTCACACCTGCTAGGTAAATGCTCTGCCCCAGGGCTACGTCCCCAGAGGCATAGTGTAGCTAAATTGACCAGGCCAGCCTCAAGTTCCTAATTTTCTTGCGTCAGCCTCCTGAGTAGCTGGGGTTGCAATTCCTGTCACCGTTTTGTTTTGTTGTTTTAATAAAGTAAATCACAATTATTTTATTTAATTTTATTTATTTTCTTTAAGACAGGATCTCACTCTGTAGTTCACACTGGCCTTGAGCTCACTGTGTAGCCCTGGCTGACCTGGAACTCAGTGTGATCCTCCTGCCTCAGCTTCCTAGTGGTGCTATTACAGGCATATGCCACCACAGCTCGCTCAGAAGGAATTTGATTTGGAGAATTTTCTTCATACCTTGAGATTATGGGCAAGCCTGGAGTCTTAGAATGTCAAGTTTGGTGTTATTATTATTATTAGTAGTAGTAGTATTATTAGTATTATTTTTGTACTGGGAATCGAACTGAGGACCTTGCACTTGGCAGGCAGGCACTTATGCCATTGAGCTATATCCCCGGACCCTAGAATGTCAAGTTTGGGATTTGTTGCTGTGTTTGTGTTTTGTCATAATGTCTTAATAATAGCAGTGCCTTACTTATGATTTTATAGATACTATTTTCTTTCCATTCTCATCACCTGGGGAAGTGGGCAACTCAGCCATATTTCTCATTTCACAGATGAGGGAAGTTAAAGGTGAAAATAAAACAGTAATGTCCTGCAAACGCTCTAGCTCCCAGGCCCTGTCACTGCTACGGACTGAAGAATGGGGAATTGGCACCCCCACCCGCCCCAGTGCGCTGCTCCTCCTCACATGAGGTCTGAAACTGAGACACTATGGATCTTGCAAGTGCCCGGCCCATGGCTGCAACTCTAACATTCTGAGAAGCAGAGACAGCAGGATCACAAGTTCAGTCCCAGCCTGGGCAACTTAGTGAGACCCTGTCTCAAAATAAAAAGTACAAAAGCCTTGTGATATGACTCAGTGCAAAGGCCCTGGGTTGAATTTTCAGAACTGGGAAAAAGCAGTAGGAAACATTTTGGAGACTTCCTAGATAAAGTTCATGCTAGTAATGAGTAGAACCTTGCCCTACTGCAAACTGCTTGTTACCAGTCTGCGACGAGGTAACATGGACATTATGAATACACTTTAGAAGCTTTCATAGTTGTGTCACATGCTCCCTGTCCAGTGCATCTAAATCTGAGAGGCACTGTTACACTCCATCTTTCCTGCAGTACTTCCTTCTCGTGGTTGTGTACATTCAGAGATGTTGAATCATGTTTTACTTTCCTATCCTTCATATTCAGTTGCCAAATTGAATTAATTCTCTTATGATACTGGCTTTGTGTGTCTCTGGCTCCTTGTGGTTACTTCCCTATCTTTCTGGTGTTCATTGCTTACTCTGAAATCTGTCTCTGCCTGCGTAAGCTCCCCTGCTTGGGAGCATACTTTGTACTTTAGGTTACTTTTGGGTTGGCAGTGTAGTGGCTCAGTGTAGCGCAGTTGTCAAGCATGTGTGAGGTCCTGGGTTTGATCCCTAGCATGGCCAAAATAAAACTAAGGGATCCCTTTGTCTGAAATGAGATTCACTTTCTGCTCCAGATTTGCTCTTACTCTGCTTCCATATTTTATAAATGGTACCACTAACCTTCCTGAGTTTTCATTGTGATAGAAACTGCTGGGTAATTACTGCGTCTTGCTATCTTCCTTCCTCAGTTGACAAGATTTATCTTTATACATTCATATAACCTCTCCTGTCTTCCATTTGTGATCCTGCCAGCCTGGATCTGCCCTCCTGTGCTACAAAGAGAGTCGTCATTGTTTCTTACCTGGAGTTTTCTAAGTTTCCTAACTGTTCTTTCCTGTTTTCCTCTGTAATTTTTCATACACACTACTACTATTATGACCTACTCTTAAAAATCTGCAGAGATATTTTATTATTTGTGAGATAAAGGTCAGAGTGCTTCATGTGACTTTTAGGTTTAGCAGGTTTACTTTGCCTGCCGTCAGTGCCCTATGCATCCTCTACTAAACTAGATCAAGCTGCCTCACACTTGTGTCTTGAAATTCTCTCTGGACCCTGGCTTATGCTGTTTTACCCTTGTGAGATACCCCCTTTTTTCTCTTCTTTGCCTTCTGCTGTCTCTTCAAGGGTTATTTCTGTGCTCATCCCCTTTCCAGAGCCTTTCACCCAACAGTCTTTCTAGTGAACTTTAGTAGCTCTGCTTCCATGATGCGCATGGCCGCCCAGCTGTCTGTCTCCTGTTGAAGGTGTTTAGAGTCCTGTTGGCCTTACATAACTCCTAAGTATAAACCTATTGCGAGACTTCAATGAACAACGCAAAATAAGGATTCATGGGATGGGGCATCTCACAGGGAGATTCTAGTTCAGTAGATCTGGGGATAGGTCCTGGGAATCTGGTTGTGGGGTTTATTTTGCTTTTTTTTTTTTTTTTAGACAAGGTTTCACTGTGCAGTTCAGGCTGGCCTTGAACTCACTTTGTAGTCCAGGCTGGCCTAGAACTCCCAGTGCTCCTCCCACCTCAGCCTCCCAAGTCCTGGGATTATAGGCATGCGCCACCATCTCCTGTTGGGAATCTGAAACTTAAAATACTCTTAGATTTTTCTGGTGTGTATTCCGATACTTTAAGTATTGGTCTGTGTGACCTACTGTTTCAGTGACCGGATTTAGCCTCTTTTTTTTTTTTTTTGTCTTTTTGAGACAGGGTCTCACTATGCAGCCCAAGCTAGTCTCAAACTCACAATGATCCTCCTGCCTCAGCCTCCTGAGTGCTGGGATTACAGGCATGTGCCACCATGCCCAACTCTAGCCTCTTTTGAGTTATTTCATTTTGCAGTGTTTTCTTATCTAAATTTTATTGCAAACTTGGCTGTGTTCCTTAGTGTTCAATGTAACATACATACAGTAAATGGTGAATGTCAAATAAGTAAAGGTTGAAGTAAGATCTTTCTATTTGTCTGCAGTAAAACTATACTGTAGAGGTCATGTTTGTGGGAGAGATTCTAAGGAGTTTATAGAGTAGCCTGTTATAGGCCATTGTGAAAGGAAGAGGAAGTAACACCTCTTCAGGGAACAAAAGCAGTGACTTGTAAGAGCAGATTGTATGTGGTTTACTTATGATAGAAGAGAAAGAAGATAAAATAACACAGGTTAGCAGTATATGACCAACCACAGAAAATGAGGTCACATTTGTTCATAGAACTGCAAACATTTTGCTGGGTGCGGTGGCTCAGGCCTGCAATTCCAGCGCTCGAGAGGCAGAGGCAGGAGGAGCACTTGAGTTCCAGGCTGGCCTGGGCTCCACCGTGAGTTCAAAGCCAGCCTGAACTACGTGGGAAGACCCTGTCTCAAGAAAAAAAGAGAAAGAGAGAGCTATGAAGACTTCAATCTTGCTGGTGGTACACAGTGCTGATTCACTGTAGCTGTTCTCTGGTGAGCCTAGACTCAGATGAACACTGAGCATCACTAACTGATCACATTAGTACATGATGGGAAAACCTGCACTTAGTCCTTGCTCTCCGAAAAGCTGTTTAGCATATGGCTGTAGTTGCCAGTGGAAAATGAGTGTGAGCCCTACAGTATGTACAGTCCAGGTTCTTTAAAGACTAGTTAAGCCACAGCATGTATAAAGGGCCGTTCTTCGGCACTGTGCTGTTGGCTTTCACTGCTGTGTTTCTGTTGTGACCTGTTAGGACATGATGGTGTGTGGGTCCTCATAACTGCCATTCATCTGCTCATACTTTCCTTAATAGATAAAGATAAATTACTTTCTTAAGAGTTAGACCTAGTGTGCTGACATACTGAGAAGGTTAAGCTTTTTTTTTTTTTTGGTTTTTCCCTGGTACCGGGAACCGAACTCACGACCTTGCACTTGCCAGGCAGGCGCTTTGCCGCTGAGCTAAATCCCCAGCCCTGAGAAGGTTAAGCTTAAAGCACTGGATTGTCTCTGCTGGCTTGCTTTTGGCTGAAATAATGTGTTTTGCTGCAGATCTATTGGATCTTTTTTACATGTCAGAAAAGTTGTAAACCTCTGAACCCTCATTCACATTTCCCTGACAATGAGTGTAAACAGTTTTTTACTTCTTTCCCTTCACTTTCCAGGTCTGACGACGACGATGTGGAAAGCAGGAGCTCCAGGGTGACCCAACTTTGCACTTACTTTCAGCAGAAATACAAGCACCTCTGCCGCCTGGCGCGGGCGGAGTCACGGCAGAAGAGATGTAGGCTGGCGTTGAGGAAGGCGCTGCTGCAGGCGGCCAGCCGGGAGCCGGAGAGCGCAGGGCAGCTGCTGCAGGAGCTGCGCAGGGCGGCATGCAGCCGTGCCAGGTAAGCATGTGAGCTGCGGCTCGGAGGAGCTCGGCTCTCTGTTCTTTTGTGCTTTTGAAACAGGGTCTTGCAGTGCAGTCCAGGGCAGCCTTGAACTCACCGAGTCCAGTCTGTGCTTGGGCTCCCAGTCCTCCTACCTCGCCCCCCACACCCAGCTTGCTATGCTGTATGTCTTGGTTTTCTGTTTGGAGAGGTTAGTTAAAGCATGATGTGAGATGACATTTTTTTCCCCAAATACTTGAGTGTTACATTTTAGTTTTGTTGCTCAGAAAAAGTATTGTACAAGTGGTAAAGTAAGCTGGCAGTAAAAGAAGACCATTACTGTATTTTCCATGGAGGTTGATTAAAGTGAAGTCATTTGAGGACTTTGTATCTCTTTTTTTGTACTGGGAATCGAACTCACGACCTTGTGCTTGCCAGGCAGGCACTATGCCACTGAGCTAAATCCCCGGTCCCTTCTTTATCTTTTTAAAAATTAATTTTATTGGTGCACTTTTGACATACATACTGAACACATTCATCCTAGGGAATTTGTACTTGCACATCATATATTTTCACTCTTCCCCCGTCCCCCTACTTTTAATCCTTCTTCCCCTTTCTCTCTGTGAGACATTTCTGCTGTTTCCGTCCATTGGTTTTTATTGTTTCATTCCCATTTCCCACCCTCCCTTCACATGTGAACATTTTCTTTCTACTGCCCAATATCTGTCATTCATTTGAATCCTCTTACCCTTTGGGTTTCTCACACAAGAGAAACAGTGTGATATTTAAACATGTGTGCCCAATTTATGTCTGAAAATTATGTTTTCAAGGTCCATTCATTTACCTGAAAATGTCTCAAGTTTATACTTTGTGGCAGAGTAGTGCTCCACCGTACGTGACAAACACATTTTCTTTACCCATTCATCCACTGATGGGCAGTTGGGTTGTTTACAGGAATTAGCTGTTACAAACTGTGTTGCTATAAACATGGATGTGCATATATCACTTGGTGTGATGCTTTTAATTCTTTTGGGAAGGTACTTCTGAGGGGAACAGCTGTGTCAATGGAACCTCTAGTTTGATTTTTTTAAGGAATCTCCACACTAATTTCCACAGTGATTGCACCAGTCTACACTCCCACCAACAGTGGAGAAGGGTTACTTTTTCTCCACAGCCCTACCAGCATTTGCTATTGGTTGATTTCTTGATAATAGCCATTCTTTGCACGGTGAGATAGAATCTCAGTGTTGTGTTAATTTGCATTTCTCAAATGACCAGGAACATTTTTTGTTCAACAACATTTTTTCCTATATTTATTTGCTGTTTATACTTCTTTATCTGAGAAGTGTCCATTTCAATTGTTCATTTTTGGATTGGATCTTTAAATTTGGGGCAGGTCTGGTTTTTCTGAGTTCCTTATATATTGTAGATATCAGTCCTTTCAGAAATAGTTGGTAAAATATTTTCCTATTTTGTGGTTGTCTGTTCACTGTGCTGGTGGTTTCTTTTGCTGTGCAAAAGCTTTTTAATATTGGGTGATACCAGTTGTTTCTTTGTAATATTTTGTATGCAATCAGGGTTTTGTTCATAACGTCTTTGCCTACACCTATGTCTTTAAGAGGTTTACTTATTCTATCTTCTAGCAGTTCAAATGTTCTTGTTTTAATTTTCTGTTTTTTGAGTCATGATCTCCCTGTGTAGTTCAGGTTGGCCTTGAACTCACTATGTAGCCTAGGCTAATCTTGAACTCATAGCAATCTTGCTTCAGCCTCCCAACTACTGGCATTTCAGGTATGCCCCACCACGTCCAGTTCCTGTTTTCATATTTAGATCTTTGATCTATTTCAGTTTTAATTAAGTGAATGGTTAGAGATACAGGTCTAGTTTTACTCTTCAGCAAGTGGAAAGCCAGTTTTCCCAGCATCATTTATTAAAGAGGCTACCTTTCTTCCAATGAAGATGTTTGGCCCTTTTGTCAAAGATAAGGTAGCTGAATGTGTTTGGAGTTGTTTCTGCATCTTCTGTTCCATTGATCCTTGGATCCTTGGGTCGGTTTTAGTACCAGTACCATGCTGTTTTTTTTTTTTTGGTTTTTCTCCGGTACTGGGAACCGAACTCACGACCTTGCGCTTGCCAGGCAGGCGCTTTGCCGCTGAGCTAAATCCCCAGCCCCATTTTTTTTTTTCCATGCTGTTTTTATCACTGAAGCTTTGTTGTATAATTTCAAGTCAGCGATTGTGATACACCCTGCCTCACCTTTGTTGCCTAGAATTGCTTTTGCTATCCTAGGTCTCTTCTGGTTTCAAATCAATTTTAGGATTATTTTCTCCAGTTCTGTGGGGTATATTATTGGTATTTTCATCAAGATTGCATTAAATCTCCATATAACAATTTTGGAAATATGGCCATTTTCACTATATTGGTTCTTCCTACCCAAGAACAAGGGATATCTTTCCATTTTCTGATATCCTTTATTTTTCTTGATGCTATTGTGAAATGCATTATCTCCCTAATTTCTCTCTCAGTGAGTTTGTTATTTGTGTATAGGAATGCTATTGACTTTTGAGTGTTGACTTTGTATTCTGCTGCACTGCAGAAGTTGGTTAATTTCAGAAGTCTTTTAGTGGAGTTTTTGAGGCCTCCTGTGTAGAATATCATGTCATTCATAAAAGAATGATAATTTAACTTCTTCCTTTCCTATCCTTATTCCTTTTATTTCTTTCTCTTGTCTGATTACTGTAATGTTTCCAGAACTATATTGAACAGTTGAACAGGAGTGGTTATAATGGGCATTTTTGTCTTGTTCCTAATTGACTGATTTTTTTTGTTTGTTTGTTTGTTTGTTTGTTTGTTTTTTTGTTTGTTTGTTTTTTCCCCAGTACCGGGAACCGAACTCACGACCTTGCGCTTGCCAGGCAGGCGCTTTTGCCGCTGAGCTAAATCCCCAGCCCCTTTAGTTTTTTTTTTTTTTTTGGTTTTTTAATTGATTTTTGACACAGGTTCTCACCAAGGAGCCCAGGCAGGCCTCAGGCTTACAGTGATCCTCTTGCCTCAGCCTCCTGAGTGCTGGGATTATAAACGTGCACTACTATGCCCAGCTGCTTCTGATTTTAGAGTGAAAGTTTTCAGTCTTTGACTATTTAGTATGACCTTAGTGTCATAGATGGCTTTTGTCAGATTGAGATAAACACCTTGTATTCTGGTTTTCTGTAGGATTTTTACAGGTATGTGTGCTGGATTTTGTCAAATGTTTTTTCTACATCTATTGAGATGATCATGTGGTTTTTGTCCTTGGTTCTGTAAAAATGGTGTACTTCATTTTTTGATTTGTATATGTTGAACCGTCCCTGGTGAACTGTAATTGGTCATGGTGTATGATCTTCTTGATGATTTGCTGCATTGTTTGCTAGTCTCTTACTGAGAACTTTTGCATCTATTTTCATTAAGGAGATTGGCCTGTAGCTTTCTTCTTTTGGCTGGATTCTTCCCTGGTTTTGATGTTAGGGTAATACTTGCTTCCAAGAATGACTTTGGGAGTATTGTTTCATTTTCAGTTTCATGAGAGAATTTGAGGAGTAGTAATTAGATCTCTAGATTTATTATAGAGTTCAGCAATGAATCTGTCAGGACCTGAACTTTTCTTTGTTGGTAGTTGTTTTAGTTCCTTTTCTCTCGTAGCTGAGACAAAATACCGAATAACCACAAGTTAAAGGAGGGAAGGTTTATTTAGCTCACAGTTTGTAGAGGTTTCAGTCCATAAGTGGCTGGCCCCAAGGCAGATTGGCACATGGCAGAGGGGCAACAGTTCATGGCAGCCAAAGACAGCAAAAAGCTAGCAAGGGAAGAGAGAGACAAGCCTCCTTCTGTCCCTTATATTACATGCAAGATATCTGCCCTAAGGTGGTTGTAGTACTCATACCCTTAATGCCAACATTGGACCATGAATCTAGATTCAGCCACCTCTAAAAAGCCTGCCACCCGTGACTGCATAAGGCTTTGGAGGCACATCTCGACACAAACCATAACAATAGTTTTTTAATTACTTCTTCAATTTCATTGATTGATATTGGGTTATTTAGAATTTTTATATCTTACTGGTTTAGCTTTGGTAATTGATAATGTATCTAGGAGTTTGTCCACTTGTGAATTTTCCATCTTATTAGAAAACAGATTCTTGAAGTAGGAATTACTAATCTTCTGGATTTCTGCAGAGTCTGTTGTGATTTCACCCTTTTCATTCCTAATTGCATGGATTTGAGTCTTTTATTTTTTCTGGACGGTGTTCTTTTTTTGTGTGTGCCAGAAATTGAACCCAGGACCTTGCACTTGCCAGACCAGTGCTTGTGCCACTGAGCTATATCCCCAGCCCAAGTCTTTTCTTTTTTTGATAAGGTTGGCTGAGAGTTTTTCTATTTCATTTAACCTTTCAAAGAACCAGCTCTTCGCTTCATTGCTTCTTTGTATTGTTTTCTTAGCCTCCATTGCATTCATTTCTGCTTTGATCTTGGTAGTCTCTTTCCTTGAACAAGTTTTGGATTTAATTTGCTCATCTTTTTCTAGAAACTTGAGGTTCAACCTATGATATTTATTTCAGCTTGCTCTTTTTCTGATGTGGAAATTCACCACTATAAATTTCCATTGTTGGATTGCTTTGATTTGGTCCATAAGTTCCAGTATATTGACATTATCATTTAATTGTAGAAATTGTCTAATTTCTTCAATTTCATCTGTGAACTGTTGGTTGTTCAAGGGGGAATTATTTAATTTCCTTATGTTTATGTAGTTTTTGTGGTTTCCATTGTTATTGATTTCCCATTTCATTGCACTATGGTCTGATAATATGCATGCAATAAGTTTAATTCCTTTGCATTTACTTAAGCATGTTTTATGAGCTAGTATGTGGTCTGTATGGAGGATGTTTTGTGTGCAGCTGAGAAGAATGTGTATTCTGGTTTGTTTTTTTTTTGTTTGTTTGTTTTTCTCCGGTACCGGGAACCGAACTCACGACCTTGTGCTTG